ACAAACATGATGAGCATTTAAACATCATTAAACGACGTTTGCATATTGCTGTATATATGCAGTGAGAGACACTGTAAGGCTCGATCCCTCACAAATATGCTGCCGCTGCTATGAGCTCCATATTCAATATGATTGTAATGAATTTCTGGAGTTTCAAGCCGTCAAACTGCATGTATTGACTGAAAAAGACTCTAAAATGACTTAGCAAGGTGTCCTCTGCCTCGTGCCTCATGGTGTTTGGCTTCAGCATCTCTGTGACTCTGTACTGGATATGCAGTGTGGATAGACTGTAAAGTGTGTCACCATGCCAAGGCTTCTACCAAGGACACCATACAAACCAGGGAAAAAAGACTGACGTGTCTTACTTGCATTCACAGTTTGAGAATGGGGGTAGCCCCGCCTCCCTGTGAATCTCATTGGCCTCCTGGGGGTCCCTACCTGAGGGTAGGCTCCAGATGCCAGGTGTTGCACATGAACTCTCTCCAGTCGACAGTGGTATAGTTCACAGCATCCTCTCTCTCCCTGTCAGAGGTGGACGTGGAGGATTCGTCTTGGAGGGCGGTGGGGCTCTTCTGACCAGGGCGGGTGGCAAAAGCCCGTGGGGCAAAGAGCGCTGCACAGAGGTAGATAGTTCAGATACAGGAAATAAAAATCCAGACCAAGATTTTGATTCAACCAAGCAGTTGAATACTCAGTGACTACGACTCTTTATACTCAACTGCTTGGCTGAAACCAAATCTTTGTCTGGATTTTTACTTTCAGGACATGAACTATCCACCCCTGTATTTGACCAGTTAATCATGTGACACAATGGCCTGGAAGATGGATGAATAGATATTCCACAGGGTGGCTTGTGTGGGACTCTGATTCTTAGTTAAATTTCAAATTTTGAAAAATTTTAACTGTACATTATGAAAATATAGGCTGAAGGCCGGGGGCTCATTGTGGTTACACATATGTGTTATTACCTTTCTCCTTCTCCTTCAGGTAGGCTGATACCAGGTCATGCAGGAACATGATAAGCTCAGCATCCATTGTGACACATATGTGGTCCGTGAACTCCGTCACCACACTGCACTCAACCTTGGGTCTGCTGCTGGTATCTGTGTGCGGAGAGATATTAAGATAAGATTATGGTTATCGAGAACCACAGAAGGCTCTTCCAAAAAGCCTCAGTACAACCAAACCCAATCAATATGAGACATGGGTCTCCTGTCAAGCTTGTAATTGCTTTAATGAACTCATTATTTTAATAGTAAGTAAATTTACCTGCTACTGGGACTGGTCAAAGCATATTTGGAGACCAAGTTCCCATCAGGTGACACCTGATGTTCTCCTTTGGTCCTACCTGTGAGTGAGGGCTCAACGGGGTCCTGCACGTGGATGGACTTGAAATCAAGTTGCATCCGGGGGAGGGCAAAGATGGTTTCTGTCTCGTGGTTGTAGCTGGATGAGCCGCGGAAGCCGCTTAGCAGGCTGGAGGTCTTCGCCGCCGTGCTACTCTGGGGGACGCTGCCATCCACGTTTCGCAGGAGGTTCAGCTCTGAGGAGACGCAGGAACCTACCTTAGTGCCACCAAAGACTAGAGCTGTTTCAGAGTATTATTTGTGTATTTTTTGTATTATTCTAAATCAAGTCAGAGTGGACAAATCTCAGGTCATCTCATCTAGCCATGTATGGTGAACATTCATTGACCACTTTTTCTTCACTCCCTGGTCAAACTCCTCCAAAACCATTTCTGCTGTGTTTAGGTCATGTGGCTTGGTCATCTGACCTAAACACAGCAGAAATGGTTTTGGAGGAGTTTGACCAGGGAGTGAAGAAAAAGTGGTCAATGAATGTTCACCATACATGGGACCTCCTTCAGGGCACCTGGAAAAGCATCTAAGGGCACCACATGAACCTGGTGTAGGGGAGACAGCAGGGTCAGCCAGTCCCTGGAGTAATTGGGGTTAAGGGCCTTGCTCAGGGCCCAATGGCGGGATCACTCTTCCGAACCAGGGATTTGAAGGTGCAACCTTCTGAGCCCCCCCCAAAAAAAAAAAAAATTTTGTCTGTTTAATACTCTTTTGGTCAGTGCATAACTCCATATTGTCATGGATTGCTCAGGGGAAGCCCCTATGACATCACGTGGGGTTTCCCTACGGGAGTCGAGCAGCGGCCAGAGCGCTTCTTCTACACCGGTCCCGGGAACCGGCAGGACCGGTTACCGTATGCCCTCCTCTACCAGCTGATGCCTGTCGGAGTGATTGGAGAGCCTTTACATTTTAGCCTTCAGTGCGAATTTCGAGCGTTTATTTCCTGCCTGTCTGCACCTCTGCCTGCCTGTTCCCCTGACCTCTGTTCTGTTTTTTTTTTTCGACCTTCGATTCTTAGCCTAGCCCTCTTACTGCCTACGCCGATCGCCTGACCCCTGCCTGTTCCCCTGGATTCCTACGGCGATCGCCTGACCCCTGCCTGTTCCCCTGGAGTCCTACGCCGATCGCCTGACCCCTGCCTGTTCCCCTGGAGTCCTACGCCGATCGCCTGACCCCTGCCTGTTCCCCTGGATTCCTACGCCGATCGCCTGACCCCTGCCTGTTCCCCTGGATTCCTACGCCGATCGCCTGACCCCTGCCTGTCCCCGGATTCTGAGCCCTGCCTGTTCCCCTGGATTCCTACGCCGATCGCCTGACCCCTGCCTGTCCCCGGATTCCGAGCCCTGCTATACCCCTGGATACCGGAGCTGATAGACTGACCCCTGCCTGCTCAATCTCCTTGTTTTCCTTTTTGGATTGTCATTTCTGTCCTACTGCTCTCTCTGTCCCTGGTTCGACGAGGAAGATAATAAAGCCTGTTTTTCCCTTGGACTGATCCGCTATCGCGTCCTCCTTATATTCCAGTGCCCCGCCGTGACACATATATATTATTTTATAGTTTTGATGTCTTCTTAATTATTCTAAAATGCAGAGAATAGTACAAATAAACCTTTCAATGGGTAGGTGTGTCCAAACTTTTGAATGGAACTGTAGCGCTAAATAGTTTAGTTCTAATGTAAACTGCTCCTCGTCTAGATTCCTCCTGGGATCCATAGCAATATTAAATAATTCCATATTTGACTATATATATTCCCCTCAGAAGGAAGTCAATTTGATGCAGGGCCTTTGAATATGAATAATTGTTGCCAAAGCAGCGAAGAATTCGTTTTGGTTTACTTCTGATTTAAGGTTTCAGACCTTCATTTCTCATGGCAGTGACATAGCTGAACCATTCCTTGATGCTGGCGACCCCGTGTGGGGGGTTCTCATGTCGCCGCCGGGTGATCTTGGTGATGGTGGCCATAGGGCTCTCCAAGGCTCCACAAGGTTTGGTCACCATGGTGTTGTGGCCAAGGTGGAAATCCAAGGTCTGCACAATGTAGGTTGAGTTGTCGCTGGATCCTAGAGGAGAAAAAGCAGCACAGAACCCATCCTATAACTTGACATTTGCTACAGGAACAGCTGCGTTGACTGATCGGTTGCAAATTACACAAACTGCAATTCTTTGTGCTTTCTCGCAGGAATTAGGGTTTACTCACAGTTGGAGAACATGCAAGACAACAACGTACAGATAGTCCAAAAACTCAATCCTGCTACCACAAATTTTATAGTGTATAAAAAAAACTATTTCCTGCATTTTCAGATCGTTGTGAATGAAATTCATGCAGACTAATCATTAATGGGTACACACCATCTTCCCATATCTTTTGAGCCTCAGTCCAGAAGGCGATGTTGGGCTCCTCTAAATGAAACAATGCCCAGGACTTAGCACGAAAGTTGGGACCATGAAAGCAGGCCAGAGTCATGTGGTTGCCGTGGAGACTCATGGAGCCTCCCAGTTGCACGGCATCCTCCGGTAGGGGCATCTGGAAGAGTGAGATGTGGCAGCCGGCGATGACCTTCAACACGTTGGGCCAGTGTCGATGGTGAGCCGCGTCCATGTCTGGAAGAGAGGTACCAGGAAATGTCAGAGCAACTTGATTTTATCCCCAACCCATCTATACAATTGCTTTACAGATGAAATTCAGTTGAAGCATGTTGTAGTATATTACAGGAAAACCTCATCAATGCTCTTCAAGAGCTTATCCCATTTGTGGGATCTTGTGAAGGGTGTCACCCTGATTGTGTTGGGAACACGCCACAATCGAAGGGGTTGTTTTTTTGGTGAGGGATACCAACTAGGGTGGCCAGGTATTTTCCCGTGTCTGTTCCCTTGATAGTGGAATTACTCACAAAACCACATCTGGTAATCCGGTTCTCTCTCAACCTTCAAGAAATGCCTCAAGACCCATGTGTTCCAGAAACACCTGTACAAGTGGTTTCTGGTGTTGCACTTTGTCTTCTCATTTGAATATTTGCATTTTGTTTTTGCTATGTCTATATGGTGTGGTATGGCTTTAATGTATTGCATGCTTGTCACTTTGAACAAAAGTGTCTGCTATGTAAATAAATAAATCTATGTGGGACGGAACTCAGAAGGTTGCTCACATATGATGAGCATTCCTTGGCCGCTTTTCCTTCACTCTCTGGTCAGACTATTTCTACTGGGTTTAGATCAGGTGGCCAGGTCATGTGATGTGGCACTCTATCACTCTCCTTTTCAGATGGCTTGGCATGTCCAGACTTTTTACTGGTACTGTAAAACCTGCTGGAACCTGGTCATGCAACCTCCAGTAGCATATAAGTTCCACTTTACTGACTCTTGCCTACACCTTCCTCAGGGACCTCACATTATTTATTCTGCTCCTCTGAAGTCATCAGATGATCACTGATCTTGGACTGGTAGAATAGGGCATGCTGTGAAAAAGCTGATGCTAATCAAATTCTGCAGAGATCGCTTAACTACAGGAAGTACCCTTGAGGATGGGGCAGAACAAACCAGAGATACGTACACATCTCAGTATTTCCCTTCTCAGCACTGGCAGGTGGGGCTTTGGGGGGCATGTAGGGGACTGGACTCCATGTGGACAAAGCTCGCTTGCTGGTGTCAAACTGCTGCGTGAAGAACTCTTGTAGCTTCACGCCAATCTTGATGAGGTCGGGTGTGGTGGAACGGGAGATGATCACTTGAAAGATGTCCCACTGAAGATCGCCATGGACAAAGATCTCGCTGAAGTGGAGGAGAAGAAAATCAAGGTTGAAAATGGCTTATTATCTGAAAGTAGGCATTTAACCCACTGGGGTCGATGACATCGTCGGCGATGCCGCGTATTTTTCTTGTATCTTTCTCGCTGAAATCTATTTTTAGAAACATGGAAAAAAACGCTGACTAAATCCATAATCTGTCTTCTTTTCAAAACATCCATTGTCGAAAGTATTAACGTTTTTAAAATTAGGTTAAATTGGCAAAAAAGTAAACCATGTCACCTTACTTTGTTTTACTTGCATCGGGGGCGTGTAGTACCGCTGTCACCCGAAGATCGCTATTCACATTCTAAATAGCTAATAATTCTAATAGCTATAATTAGCGCATTAGCATGGTAATTTGATGAACAGTGCAACGGTGAAACGTGATCCAGATACATCCCCATCAACACCATAAAAAGGGGGGGGGAGGGTGTGGCCAGGTGTGAATGTCTCATGCATATGCTACATATTCAATGAAAAGAGGCCAGAAATAGTGACATGAGTTAAGTTTTTCTTATTTATTTATCCAACTGAATGCTGCAAATACACCATTTATTCATCTTCATGTAGTTTATGATATTGAATGAAATGTGTGATCATGCCCCAGTCAGTGAATGTGAATGTGTGATCATGCCCCAGTCAGTGAATGTGAATGTGTGATCATGCCCCAGTCAGTGAATGTGAATGTGTGTTCCCTACCCCTAGACCTCAGAGAAGAAGTTAGGTAATGTGTGAAATATCTGATAACCTAATGACCCAGTGACCACCTTTGCTTCTAGAGATGCAAAGCCCTTTGTAGAAGAACAACCTGAGTTCCTTGGCTATGTGTGGCCTGATGAGCACCTTTTCTCTGACAGGCTGGTGTCCATGGTGTTGCAGAGGTTGACTTTCCACTCATCCTGCAGCTGAAGGTCAGCATTGCTGAAGACGCCCATGAGGATGCTGGAGCCCATGTAGTCGACTCGAGCTTCGGTGGAGCCCATTGTCACCTGGATCTTGTGGCTGGGCTGCTGGTTGGGGTGCTCGGAGATATGAGCTGTGGAACCAAGTTGACAGACTCAGCTTGGCTAACATCATGCGTGATGTGGAGAGGTTGTACAGCAAGCCAGCATACGGAGAGTATTTAAACAGAATGTGGGTAGGAGTCAAACCCTGTTAACCAACTCCGCCTTTTAGACTCTGTATCGTGAACCACAGCATCGATCCTTCAGTGATCTAACTGTGACCTAACAACTACACCAACATTTCTGCACAGATGATATAATATTAACAAGATGCCATGGGATCTAGCTCTTAATCCTACCAGTGGGATCTGTTGTCTTGGTTCCTATACTTGAGGAAGAAGTGATAAATAGAGATTTTATCTTCATTAGTTCTACAGATCATTCTGTGAGAAAAAGTGAAAGGAAAGCAGTAGGTTTGTGGTGCGACGTGTGGTGGGAAACACGGCACACAGCAAAGGTTTACTGCTGCGCTTCTGCGCAATACAAGGCAACAAAGTGAAAGGAAAATAAATATATATATATATATATACACACACACACACACACACACACACACACGTGACCCAGGCAGACACTTGAACCAGGGTCCCAGAGCTGTGATGCAACAAACTAACCTCTGCACCACCGTGCCGCCCTCTATATATATATATATATAAAAAATATAGAGGGCGGCTCTATATATATTCTCTATATATCTCTGTAGCGTGGAGAACCTGACACCCACTGAAATTCCACTTACAGACCATCTCCAGGGTGTTCACGTCGATGTTCCCCCCCACCACGCCTCCCTTGGAGTCCAGCCGGGACCTTCCCAGCCCCACGGACATGCTGATCTCCCGGTCCCTGTTGCTGCCCACGGACAGCCGGCCCTGGCTCTTCAGCCCGCTGGTGGTCCACCTGGCAGGAAGAGGGAGGCCATCTCTCAGAAACACCTACACATCCCTCACACAGCTGACTGGACATCCACAGTAGGACTGTATGCAGAACCAGTAACTAATGTGGAACTTCCTCCTGGGATCAAAGATGTCCACCTTAATGTTAAATAAGATGAAACTCTGATTTCTTGTGTCTTGTAGCATGAGCCATATAGTTATGGGAAGAGTGGGATCAGCAGTGGAATTTACCACATGTGATGTAAATGCAGTGCTCTAAGTATAACTGGTGGTGGCCGGCTAAGATTTTCCCCAAGTGAGTGGTTTCAGCATCACATGATTGTGTGCAAATGTCATTTAGAGGTAAAAAGCTTACGTGTTATTTCCCATGACGTTGCTCATGTTCATCTGCACATTGAGCTGCTTGAGGTTGATGGCAAACACCACCAGCGTCTCCCACGGCGCCCCCTGCTGGGCACCCACCTTGTTGTTCCTATTGAAGGAAGGCGTGGCAACCTTGGAGACAGAATCTGCAATGCAAACAGAGAGGGTTTGCATGGGTGCTACTCAGTAACCATCAGTGACTTTACATTTTACATTTGTATAGTTGTCCTGCATCGACTGAAAAGTTACTGGATTCCCATTTTACACACTTTGCTTATGTATGTCCTCAGTGTGGCAGTGAAATTCTCTGATCAGGTTCAGCCCTGACAGAGACAATGTGGATGGATCACTTGGAAATGCTTTACAATACACAGGAAGCTGGAAATAAAATGTAGCAATTTGCCACTTAAAATAGCTGAAACATCATGGAGGAATGTAGGAAGCAACATGTACACATTAATAGGCACATGCATTTTGGTTAATAAAAGACATTATAGAGAATTTCTGTTGCTTCACCTTCAGTTATCACAATAACCGACTGCGAAGGTGTCCCCTCTTTGGTGCTCTGCATTACAGGCCACAGATCTGTCCAAAACCCAGTGAAAAGTTCTTTTGGCAAAGATGGCAGCCCACCTCTCCTAGGCACAGAAGAGTCGGAGACGCTGCGGGAGCGGGCGGCGGCGGGGGATCTGAGGTGGGCCAGCGGCCCGGGAGACATGTTGCTGGAATGTTCCCCGAACACGCTCGGCGACTGGGGCATGTGCTGGAAGGAGCACGACTGGTTGGCTTGGTCCCAGGTCCGCCAGTAGGCCTTCCGTGTGGAGTCTGGCGACAGGTGCTGGGCCACGTTCTCTACAGAGTCGGGCGTGGCCGGGCCTGATGCTGGCCGTAACAGGGAGGGAAGACATGTTCCTATAACCAGTCTCTCCAATGGATCCCTGCAGTGCTGGCTTTGGTACAGAGATACTACACTCCCTTAGTTCTTAGCTGTCTTCCTTCAACCTCTCATATGATATGAATACTTGTGGGCGTGTCCTGCTATAAGGAGCGTGGACCAATGGCAGTGAGCGCTGGGTTCCTCACCTGGCAGGTTGATGGTCTGGTCCCCCAGGAAGAGGCGGCGTGCGATGCTCCGGCGATACCAAGCCCGGGGAAAGGCTAGTATCTCACTCAGCCTCCTCATGTCATATTTCAAGGAGGCGGAGCCAATATCACACACAGCTGTGGAAGAATGGTAAGTGTTGAGCGGCTGGAATGTTTCAAAGAGCGAGGACATGCCAGGGAACGACCCGTGAATACCAACAGATTCATACCGGTACATACATGACTTTCAATGAAGTTATATCACATGTCAAGCTACACCACCAATATTAAATTCGGCCATGGGTTGGGGAGTTGATATGTGGGTACCTGAGATGTTAATGAGGGTGGCGTCCATTTTTCCCCCCTTGCAGGGGACAAAGCTCTCGATGAAAGTGAGCCCTCCAGTGCGGCGCATCCTGGACAGACTGACCTTCACAAACTCCAGGTTGATGCTGAGGGAATCTTTTCTTCCAGTCACTGAGGAGGGTTCCTCATCTACTGAGCCTGAGTGGGAGTGGGGAACAGCCAACAATGGCACCAAACCTGCATCTAATGGGCTTCAACCTTTCAGACACGGCCCTCTAGACGTAAGAGACTCCACCAGTGCCAATTCTATCAGAACCAGGAGCCCAAATCTAAGGTCGGTACCGAACCCCCCCTAGTAACCATAGCCACATATGACCACAACTATTATTTAAAATAGTCCTGGAGGGCCGGAACCTTGCACATTTTTGGGTTTCCCCTCCTTTAACACATCTGATTCAACTCCTTGTGCTAATTACCACATAGCTCTTGAGCTGAAACATTTGTGGTGGAACAGGGAAAGAACTAAGCTACACAGAGCTCCGGCCCCCCAGGACTGCAGTTTGATACCTCTGACCTAAACTATCTACCACACAGCTCTTGAGCTGAAACATTTGTGGTGGAACAGGGAAAGAACTAAGCTACACAGAGCTCCGGCCCCCCAGGACTGCAGTTTGATACCTTTGACCTAAACTATCTACACTGGTCACATCACCATCAACATAATAACCCCAGTGCCTCCACCAATTTCATCGCGCATTCCAGTATTCTGAAAAACATGACTCTCTTCATTAGGCAGATCAGACCCTACCCAAGGGTCCCGGGGGTCGACCGGCGACTGTCGATTTCTGCTTGCCAGCCCCATACGGATGGAACACATAGAGCGAGAAGTCGGACATGCAGGCTGTGAAGCTGAGACCGGAGGAGTTGCTGGGGGGTCCTGTCAGGTCCGACTGGCTACTGCTGTGCCTGCTTCTGCCCAGGGGGCTGCCCAGCCCCGGGGAGGAAGCTAGGAAGGAAGCATCAGGTGATGTGCACCTCAGCAGACAGCGTGACAGAAATTTGAATGCAAGTTTAGGCTTTCGAAACGTACAGTGTGCGGCAATACTATATATTGTCAACTAGCTGCTATTAAAAACCACTTATGACCACAACCAATGGCTTTTAAGATTCATTTCTCCAGTGACTAGCTTGGCTAAGGACAGCTAAGTGCCCAGGGAGGGTGAGGTTCCTACCCTTGGTAGTGGAGACTTTGAGGACACTGTGGGCGAGCGGGGACCCCGAAAGGGTTGGGTGGGGTCCCTCGTTCTGGTGAACAGAGCCAGGCAGCTCCAGCTCGCCGCGATTGGACGAGAAGACCAAGTCAAGGGATGGTAGCTTCAGCATGCATTCCACCCTTGACATAGGCAGGCAGCTGAAGCGGATCTGAGAAGGCTGGTTGAATACAGGAAGAAGGGGAGTATTACCATGCCAACCTGACATATAACACTAGAAGATTTGGAAACCTGCTCACAGTGTTAATAATCACCATGGTTTACAGTGCTAGCAATCACTTACAAAAGTGTAAAATATGCAATATAAAGGTCACTGAAAATGTGAGAATGAAATGGTCTGGGAGCATGAGAACCTGTACTCGGACGTAAACTACAACGTCGACCGGGAAAGAGGAGTAGGCTGATGTTGAGGAGGACACCAGGGAAGTGGTCGATTCCTCCAGGGCGTCCACTGGCTCAAAAGGGCCCACATCCTCATCCTGAGAGTTCATGGCTAACGGGGTGAGAAATTGTGGTTATATTCATTAAAATATCTCATACTTCTCGAAATGTTGCTGACATCGTACCAGATCATCCATCTATATTCCAGATGCTTTTTCTGCTCGGGGTCATGGATGATGTCTTCTGGTGGCCAACATTAAGCATACGACCTCTTTGCTGGATGCGGCAGGTTCATACCGGTATAGTTCCTCTCCACAGGCGTGATGGGGATGGTTTCCAAGGCCTTCTCCAGGAAGTCCAGCAGGCAGGGGCTGATCACCATCTCCTCAGGCAATGTCTGCAGGGCCACCCATGCATACAGCTTGGCCGTCTTCATACCTCCACTGCCTTTGCCTTTGGCTGCAAGCGAGGTCTCCATCAGAACAGGGATCACACTTGCTACGTGTCCAATATGTGCTGATAACAAAGGACTTATAAGACTAACAAGAGCCAAAGGCTGCTCCTCAGCTTCTAACACCATTGGTGCATCATCTGATGAATCAGCTGGACATGCTATAAGAACACCCATGTACAGCACTGTGCAAAAGTCAAAAATAAAATGCTCTTTAAATGACCATCGTGTTGGTGTAAAACTATAGTATTATGCCAGTCAAAGCGTGTCAACTTAGCCATTTCAAAACTTCTGTGAAAATCGTCCCCAGTATTTGCATCAACCATCTCAACGACATATTTTTCGATTTGGCTACTAACACACATGGAATGGCTGAGCTGTCCCGGAAGAGAGATTCGCTCAAAGGATGTTCATCTAGCCATCCAACAAGATGTCAGTAACTTTTTGGAGAACAGAAGATATTTTTCTAGTTTTTATTGTATTGTTCTTAATTTTCCTAGGTTCTAATGCAAAATTTTGTTTTTGTTTTGAGCTAAAGTGCACTTACTATCTAGAAAAACAAATTAGAACATTTCTGCCTAAGACTTTTGCACAGTACAGGCATACCTCGTACAACGTCCGTCCAAACAAAGCCCATTCACATTAACGTCCATAGGCCATAAGGATATAATAGAAAAAAATCGTCATCTAACAATGGGATGTAGTGGACACATTCAGGCTCAGAGCATGCAAGAGCATCATGTGTGCATTCCTGCGTGCATCACTGTAAACAAAGCCCTGTGAATTTATTCATGGCATTACTTAGCCTTGCTCAGTACATGTTCACGCAACCTCCAAATCACATAACAACCAGCTCCCCAGAACGTAACATGGACGTTAAGTTAGGTACACCTGCACTATACGAATACCACACACACTAAAAACATGCAGGTATAGTGAGAGAACACACGCATGCACAATGAGGGTTACCAGTACCTGATGGAATTGCTGGGGCAGGGGGAGGAAGGAGTGTATTAGTCTTGCTTTGGGCTGGACTGGGAGGACTGGGAGGACTGGGAGTGCTGCTATCTTTCATACCATACAGCTTGGACTCTTTCGACAGCGTCCTGGGCAGGGAGGATCCACGGGAGGCGTTTGGCGAGTCGGTCTTCAGCGTCTTTGAATTGTAGTGCAGCTGTGTCCGATCAAAGATTACTGTCAGCGACTCTCTGTCTCACAGAGCAAAGCTTTAGTTTTCCTCATTGAGCTGATATGAATTAGCAGCAGTCCTGAAACTCACAGACGAGCGTTTGAAATGATGCACCACTGTTTTATAGGTCACATGCACACTGGCTTTCATTTTCATAATTATAACCAATGATTTATGGAACTGACAGTAAAAGATCACCAACGAGGGGGAGGTCGGCTGTGTTTGGGAGGAGGCGTGTAATGTCAGGGGATGAACCCCCACAAAAACTGCCTATTTCTCATCATTTCTAAGTATTATTTACCTACCTGGCAACCCCAGCCGGAGCGCCAGTCCAGAACTTGAGGACCCCTCTGTAGACCCAACTCTTGTCTTCTTGACCCTGCCTGTTTTGACTTTTTGATACCAGAATGTCTCTCTTCTGGGTGTGTTCCTCCCCTCCCTTTAGTTAGACCCTTAGAAAGTACCCGGTTCAGCCTTCCTGTCTCCTACCACGTTGATCTTGTCAGCATCCAGACCGAGGTGAGCTTTACACCCACCTTCACATCCACTCCAGGGATGTAGAAGACGGTATTCTCGGAGTCTGTGGATTTAGTCTGCAGAGAAGAAGGCGCTTTCTTGCCAGCCAGCAGGTGGACTGTGGAGGTGCAGGCTGGCTGAAGCTTCTTCTTCTTTGGTGGAGATTCGTGATCCAGACTCCTTAGGTTTCGGTCACAGCTTCTGCAAAACAAGAGGCATTGTTATTAAACCAATGATGTGCAGCGCTCACAGGAAGTCTTGGGACGCTTACATGATTCAGTATACATATTGCAAATTTATTGGTTTTATTACAAAAATTATTGTATCATTCATTTGTTGATATATTAGCAATCAAAATATGCCACTGGAACACAGGACTGATGGCATTACAACCAGTAGTTTTAAGTAAAACATTCAAGTACTAGTAAGTAAAACATTTCAAATAGTAATAAAATGAAACCCAAATTGTAATTCTGAAAGAGCTGTTACAAGTTAAAAACCCCATTTACAAGTAATTTCAAGCAGTTTTTTGTGCTTTTTAATTAGAAACACATTTGCCATGACATACTGTAAAACACCAAAACATTTGTGTTTAACATCCCTTTGGCAGCCAATGACTACAAAAGTAGTAATGACAAAAACAGAACAGAATGAGTCAGTCAAAAACTTAAACTTAATAACACTTAATAAAATGAAATTGTTCCCTCCTGGAGCCGACACCTTATCGTGGTGGAGGGGTTTGCGTGTTCCAGTGATCCCAGGAGCTAAGTTGCCCAGGGCTTTATGCCCCTGGTAGGGTCACCCAAGGCAAACCGGTCCTGGGTGAGGAACCAGACGGTGCGGCTCAAAAGACCCCTTATGAAGGGAAACATAATGGATACACGTTTTCCCTTGCCCGGATGCGGGTCACCGGGGCCCCCCCCTGGAGCCAGGCCTGGGGGTGGGGCTCGATGGCAAGCGCCTGGTGGCCAGGCCTATACTCATGGGGCCTGATCGGGCACAGCCCGAACAAGGCACGTGGGTCCCCCCTCCAATGGGCTCACCACCCATAGGAGGGGCCATAGGGGTCGGGTGCGATGTGAGCTGGGCAGTGGCCAAAGGCGGGGACCTTGGCGGTCCGATCCTCGGCTGCAGAAGCTAGCTCTTGGGACATGGAATGTCACCTCTCTGATGGGGAAGGAGCCTGAGCTGGTGCGCGAGGTGGTGAAGTTCCGGCTAGACATAGTCGGGCTCACCTCGACGCATAGCCTGGGCTCTGGAACCAGCCTCCTTCAGGGGTATTGGACCCTCTTCCACTCTTGAGTTGCCTGCGGGGAGAGGCGCCGAGTGGGGGTGGGCATATTTATTGCCCCCTGGCTGGGTGCCTGTACATTGGGGTTTACCGCAGTGGACGAGAGGGTAGCCTCCCTTCGCCTTCGGGTGGGGGGACGGGTCCTGACTGTTGTTTGCGCTTATGTGCCAAGAGGCAGTTCAGAATACCCACCCTTTTTAGAGTCCCTGGAAGGGGTGTTGGAGAGCACTCCTTCTGGGGACTCTCTTGTTCTGCTGGGGGACTTCAATACTCACGTGGGCAATGACAGTGAGACCTGGAGTGGCGTGATTGGGAAGAACGGCCCCCCGATCTGAACCCAAGTGGTGTTCTGTTGTTGGACTTCTGTGCTCGTCACGGATTGTCCATAATGAACACCATGTTCAGGCATAAGGGTGTTCATATGTGCACCTGGCACCAGGACACCCTAGGCCGCAGTTTGATGATCGACTTTGTAGTCGTGTCATCGGACTTGCGGTCGCATGTCTTGGACACTCGGGTGAAGAGAGGAGCGGAGCTGTCAACTGATCACTACCTGGTGGTGGGTTGGCTCTGCTGGTTGGGGAGGAAGCCGGCCAGGCCTGGCAGGTCCAAGTGTATAGTGAGGGTCTGCTGGGAACGTCTGGCGGAATCCCCTGTCAGGAGGAGTTTCAACTTCTACCTCCGACAGAACTTCTCCCATGTCCCGGGGGAGGTGGGTGACATTTAGTCCGAATGGGCCATATTCCGCACCTCCATTATGGAGGAGGCTGATCGGAGCTGTGGCCGTACGGTGAACGGTGCATGTCGCGGCTGCAATCCCTGAACCCGCTGGTGGACACCAGTGGTGAGGGATGCCGTCAAGCTGAAGAAGGAGTCCTATCGGGCCTTTTTAGCCTGTGGGACTCCAGAGGCAGCTGACAGGTATCGGCAGGCCAAGCGGGATGCGGCTTCGGCGGTCGCTGAGGCAAAAACTCGGGTTTGGGAGGAGTTTGGTGAGGCCATGGAAAACGACTTCCGGATGGCTTCGAGGAGATTCTGGTCCACCATCTGGCGGCTCCGGGTGGGAAAGTGGTGCAACATCAACACTGTTTATGGTGGGGATGGGGTGCTGCTGACCTCAACTCGGGACGTTTTGGGTCGGTAGAGGGAGTACTTCGAAGACCTCCTCAATCCCACCGACACGTCTTCCAATGTGGAAGCAGAGTATGGGGACTTGGGTGTGGACTCCCCTATCTCTGGGGTGGAGGTCGCTGAGGTGGTTAAAAAGATCCTCGTTGGCCGGGCCCCGGGGGTGGATGAGATCCGCCCGGAGTTCCTTAAGGCTCTGGATGCTGTGGGGCTGTCCTGGTTGACACGCATCTGCAGCATCGCATGGACATCGGGGGCAGTGCCTCTGGACTGGCAGACCGGGTGTTATGTGCCGTAAGTGTTTGGATATGTCTACAGGACACCTCAGTCTTCTGCCCCAAGCTCCACTCGCCAATCGCCGCCTCCCAGTTTCCGGCCACGCCCCTTCCACCCTCTGACCTCTGACCCTGGCCCTGTGTTCCAGATAAAGCCTGCTGGTCACATCTAGCTCGAGCTCTTGCTCAAGCTTTGTCTTTCGCTATCGCTGTGTTGGTTTGCTGTTTCTGATTGACTTCTGTGTATGACTGTTTTGGTTTCCCGGTTTCTGACTTTCTGCTTTGCCCTATTGGTACCTTTGCCTTGGTTTGTTTGTCTTCTGGTTTGAACTCTTGCTTAGCTCCTGACTACTCTCTTTGCCTCGCCCTTTTGGATACCGTGTTTCGGCCTGTGTGTTTTCTGTACATGTCTGTTAGGTGCATAAGGAGTGACTGCCTTTTTGTTTTTGTGAACGTGGTGTTTACTGTTGTTTTGGTTAGGGAGTTACACTT